GATATATATTAAAAAATAACAAGGACCATTTTTTAAGTTCTCAATACTTCAATGTTTCATTTCTTTTTCTCAATCATAACTCTGTCTTTCACATAAATTCCCTCTTATTTCTCTTTTGAATTTTACACCACAATGATGTCTTTTTTGTTCTTCATCTAGGTCCTTGGACACAGAGCTCCCAGCAGTGATTGGAGACCCAACCCTACTACACAGTTCTTTAACAGCAGTCCCCGGTCCATGGTTCACAGGATACACCGCCCTATGAGCTCTCCCTGAAAAGTTACGAGTAAAGTTCACACGTGATGGGAGAGACTGCTTCAGTTGTCTGTTCACAGATTCTACCTTTTGGGTCAACAGTTTCCTCCGGGTCATTTCCAACAAGGAGTCACCGAGACAGGCCTTAACTTTCTCCATCAGAATTTTTGGCACAGTTGCGTCTCCACCGCTGACCTTGAAATCACTTGGTAAGTATACGTTGTCTGTTTGCTAGTTATTTCTTTTCTTCCCTGCACACACTAGTGATTTGGTCCTGCACTCACAATACACACCTTGGTTACACTTCACGATTACCTCCCTTATACCATGCGCAGCCCTCTCCTATCAGTGTCTTTCATCTCAGCTGGTGTTATGTAAACATTCTGTAATCCTATCATGGTGGTGTTGTACTGTTTGTACAGTTATTAGTCTTTACTTTTGTGTCTGTTTTTGACTCTTTTCTCTTAATAATTGCTTGTGTCTTGATTTTTTTTACAAAAAGTCCAAAATTAAGGGGGTATAGGTCTTAAAATTGAGTTATCTCCCCTGATCTTGAGAATACATGTTTTTTGTTTATATTTCCAAGTAGTACAGCACATGTTCTTTAATAAATACTCAAAACCATAAGTCTAAGTATAATGCTTATTAAGATATTTAAGTTTACATTTTGAAATTGATTCAATTTTCCTGTCTTTTCTTGCAGGAATCTCCATCTTCAGTACCAGTAGAAGACTTGACCTATCACCCCAAGCCTTGAAGCCAGCCACTCCCCATTTTGGTTTCCCATGGTCCTGATTGTTTCCAAAAATGGTAAATTTGAAAAATATGTGGTATCCTATAGAAAGATGCAGAATATGACATTTTACACCATTCAAGCGTCTCTGGAAACCAGATGATGGGACCCACCTGCATATTTCTGGTTGTGAATATAATAATGGATGTGTTTTGGCAGAATTTAGAGGGAAAATTAGCTGCAGGAGGATACTATGATGGAAATATACACCCATATAGAGCGTGGAGGTGGCCCATGGACCAGGGAGGATATGGGCGTATTGTGGTTAGATGGCCAAATGGACACAGAATGACAGAGAGAGTGCTCCGACTGTCACTGATGGTACATTATAGATGGCTGAAGGAGGATTTCCCGAGGAGGGACTGTGACGGCAAGATTTTGGAGGTCAGTCATCTCTGATATGAACCTATATTATATTTTTTAATTAATAATCTATTTATTTAACTGTCTGTCTGTCTGTCTTGTCTGTCTGTCTGTCTGTCTTTCTTGTAAGATATATATTAAAAAAAAACCAAGGACAATTTCTTAAGTTCTCAATATTTTGATGTTTCATTTCTTTTTCTCAATCATAACTCTGTCTTTCACATAAATTTCCTCTTATTTCTCTTTTGAATTTTACACCACAATGATGTCTATTTTGTTCTTTATCTAGGTCCTTGGACACAGCTAGAGCTTCCAGCAGTGATTGGAGACCCAACCCCACTACACAGTTCTTTAATAGCAGTCTCCGGTCCATGGTTCACAGGATACACCGCCCTATGAGCTCTCCCTGAAAAGTTACGAGTAAAGTTCACACGTGATGGGAGAGACTGCTTCAGCCGTCTGTTCACAGATTCTACCTTTTGGGTCGACAGTTTCCTCCGGGTCATTTCCAACAAGGAGTCGCCGAGACAGGCCTTAACCTCTCCATCAGAATTTTGACACAGTTGCCTCTCCACCGCTGACCTTGAAATCACTTGGTAATTATACGTTATTTCTTTTCTTCCCTGCACACACTAGTGATTTGGTCCTGCACTCACAATGCACACCTTGGTTACACTTCACGATTACCTCCCTTACACCATGGGCAGCCCTCTCCTATCACTGTCTTTCATCTCAGCTGGTGTTATGTAAACATTCTGTAATCCTATCATTGCGGTGTTGTGCTGTTTGTACAGTTATTAGTCTTTACTTTTGTCTTTTTTTTTGTTGCCCTAAAGGCACTTTAGTAAAACATCTATCATGCCTCTAGATCTTAGAACTTGGTATTTGTGTAAAAATTTGGTGTTGAAATACTCTAAAGATAACAATTTTAACAATTTCTGTGTCAAATTTTTATATTGTGCATGTAATTTTTAGGTGCAGGGTGCTGTGTGAAAAGTCCTGTGTTTTTTTTGTTTTTTGTTTTTTTCAAATATTTTATTTCCCCCAGCCAATATATATATATATAATACTGTATATACATATATATATATAAATGAATTGATAGGAACTGCCAGGGTTGGGGAGCCCTGGAGTCAGTCCCCTAAACAATATGGTGTCCTCACACAGGAGGGCTCTCATTTTTTTTTCTCTGTTAATTTTATCTAAATTCAAATATTTTAATTTCATAACATTTTTTCATCAATACATAACATTCAGAAATTTGATTGGGAAATAAAACATTTGTATTGACCTCTACCCCTGACCCGGAAGTTTATTTTTGACATTGGTGACACATGCAGACCATTATCCCAGGAAAAAGGCCAACATGCTTTGTTGAAATTTTTAATATTAAACTCCCAAGATGTTGCTCTTGACCAGGTTAGATGGAAAGTTGGCTATCGGATATTGGGAATTTGTTATGAAATTAAATGTTACCATGAAAAATATAGTAAAATTAATTGTGGTCTTAGTCCTACATGACTGGTCTAAAAACGAATGTTTTTATCCCCCGCTTTCACCGAAACGGGGGATATTAATATGGGTTTGTCCGTCCGTCCGTCTGTCACCCTTCGTTTCCGTGCAATAACTACAACAAATGTTAACCGGTTTTATTCAAACTTGGTCACAGAGTTAAATGCCTTAAGGGCTCGGCTCGGCCAAGTTGGAAGACCACTTTCAGCAGACCCCATTTGGTGGTGTTATGGTCCCTTGAATAAAGAAAAACGTAATTACCTGATGTGTTTTGTTTCTGTGCAATAACTATATCAAATGTTAACTGATTTTCTTCAAACTTGGTTCGGTTTTGATGAAAATTGCTATATAGGGATATTAGGGAACTGCAATTCAACCGCATCTGTTTCGTTGCCATAGCTACCACACAGAGGCTTCTGATTGGTTGAAATTTAGATATTGGTAGATTTTTATGAAAGTTTGTATAAAGTGATACATTTGTATTAGGGGACTGTGAATAAAACCGCATTAGTTTCATTACCATAGCAACCACACGGAGGCTTCTGATTGGTCGAAATTTAGATATTATTTGATTTTGATGAAAATTGGTATATAGGGATATTAGGGTACTTCTAATTCAACCGCATAGGTTTTGTTTGATTTTGATGAAAATTGGTATCTGGGGGTATATAGGGGTATTAGGGGACTGAAATTCATTCGCATATGTTCCGTTGCCACAGCAACTACACAGAGGATTCTAATTGGTTGCAATTTAGAAATTGCTCAATTTCACTCAAATTTAGTATGTACATTGTAGGTATTCCATGGCAATGCAATCCTTTTCTGATGCATCTTTGCGACTATGGGGGCAGTTTGGGGGACATCTGTAATGGTCCCCCATTACAATTAGTACTTGTTGCTGTAGATATTGTTAAGATGTTTCAACCAAATTCCTTATGCACATCCAACTCATTCTAAGTTTGCCAACCGATGTGATTTGTGCATATTTACGGATAATCAATGAGGTATAGGGCTTTTTTTTCTCTTCCAAGTTTCAAGCTATACATTATGTCTCAACAGCACGATACTCACATGTTTAAACCCAACCTCAATAATCTTAACCTACAATATGTCCTGCAAGCGGGGGATATAAATTCCACAAATTTGCTTGTTATTTCTCAGATCCGTCTATTTTGACCGATTTTGATAAAATTTGGCATGATTATTCATCATGCTGCATCTCTGATGTTTTGAATAAATCAGTTTTAATTAATAAGTCAAATTTGATTAAAAATGATTTAATTCATTTTTATTTTAAATTCAGAGATTTTTTTTAAAAAGGCACACTTTAATTTGCATATGATGTAGTTTTATGTTTTCCTACACCTCACCCGTCCTGATTTTAAAAAATTGTCCTCAAATAAAATATCATTTCTCTGCTTCTCAATAGGTTTTGAGGTTGATTGTCCCCCCTGGGTTGATGCAGTGTTGGATCAAGCTGATCTTTCCTATAGTCAGATATCCTGGCAGACTTTGACCTTTTTGCATGGTGTTCCACTAACAACTCAAGTTTTCTGTTCTTGACATCGGGTTTGTATCGACGCTGGCGCTGAACGTTGGTATCAAACTTGTGTATTTAAACTCACAGGGTTTAGTTACTAAGTGAAGTAACAAGCTCAACAGTGATTTCTTTGAAAACCTTTTCCTTGTAAATGACATTCTTTTGTTTACTGAGACGTGGTCGTCTACATTAAGGGAGATGGATGTTACAGAATTTACATGTTTTCCTTTAAATAGAACAGAATATGTAAAAAATACTAAACAAGACTCTGGTGGATTAATTATATATGTCAGAGACACAATATCTCGGGGGAATTAAGTGGTGAACAAGGATTCTGACGACATAATTATTCTTAGATTGTCTAAAGATTACTTCGGTTTTGAAAAGGATGTTTACCTATTTTTGTGTTAAATACTGCCAGTAAACTCCAGCAGAAGGTCATTCACAAATGTTGATACACTTGATCGCTTGTATGAGTTGCATTTAAATATTATAAATACAAACGCCGGTACTTGTGATTTTATAGTTGTTGGTGATATGAATGCAAGAACGGGTGAGAGTGCTGATGATGTAGAGGGGGACAATAGTGATTACATTACGGGTGAGAGTGCTGATGATGTAGAGGGGGATGATAGTGATTACATTACGGGTGAGAGTGCTGATGATGTAGAGGGGGACGATAGTGATTACATTATGGTGAGAGTGCTGATGATGTAGAGGGGGACAGTAGTGATTACATTACGGGTGAGAGTGCTGATGATGTAGAGGGGGACAATAGTGATTACATTACGGGTGAGAGTGCTGATGATGTAGAGGGGGACAATAGTGATTACATTACGGGTGAGAGTGCTGATGATGTAGAGGGGGACAATAGTGATTACATTACGGGTGAGAGTGCTGATGATGTAGAGGGGGACAATAGTGATTACATTACGGGTGAGAGTGCTGATGATGTAGAGGGGGACAATAGTGATTACATTACGGGTGAGAGTGCTGATGATGTAGAGGGGGACAATAGTGATTACATTACGGGTGAGAGTGCTGATGATGTAGAGGGGGACAATAGTGATTACATTACGGGTGAGAGTGCTGATGATGTAGAGGGGGACAATAGTGATTACATTACGGGTGAGAGTGCTGATGATGTAGAGGGGGACAATAGTGATTACATTACGGGTGAGAGTGCTGATGATGTAGAGGGGGACAATAGTGATTACATTACGGGTGAGAGTGCTGATGATGTAGAGGGGGACAATAGTGATTACATTACGGGTGAGAGTGCTGATGATGTAGAGGGGGACAATAGTGATTACATTACGGGTGAGAGTGCTGATGATGTAGAGGGGGACAATAGTGATTACATTACGGGTGAGAGTGCTGATGATGTAGAGGGGGACAATAGTGATTACATTACGGGTGAGAGTGCTGATGATGTAGAGGGGGACAATAGTGATTACATTACGGGTGAGAGTGCTGATGATGTAGAGGGGGACAATAGTGATTACATTACGGGTGAGAGTGCTGATGATGTAGAGGGGGACAATAGTGATTACATTACGGGTGAGAGTGCTGATGATGTAGAGGGGGACAATAGTGATTACATTACGGGTGAGAGTGCTGATGATGTAGAGGGGGACAATAGTGATTACATTACGGGTGAGAGTGCTGATGATGTAGAGGGGGACAATAGTGATTACATTACGGGTGAGAGTGCTGATGATGTAGAGGGGGACAATAGTGATTACATTACGGGTGAGAGTGCTGATGATGTAGAGGGGGACAATAGTGATTACATTACGGGTGAGAGTGCTGATGATGTAGAGGGGGACAATAGTGATTACATTACGGGTGAGAGTGCTGATGATGTAGAGGGGGACAATAGTGATTACATTACGGGTGAGAGTGCTGATGATGTAGAGGGGGACAATAGTGATTACATTACGGGTGAGAGTGCTGATGATGTAGAGGGGGACAATAGTGATTACATTACGGGTGAGAGTGCTGATGATGTAGAGGGGGACAATAGTGATTACATTACGGGTGAGAGTGCTGATGATGTAGAGGGGGACAATAGTGATTACATTACGGGTGAGAGTGCTGATGATGTAGAGGGGGACAATAGTGATTACATTACGGGTGAGAGTGCTGATGATGTAGAGGGGGACAATAGTGATTACATTACGGGTGAGAGTGCTGATGATGTAGAGGGGGACAATAGTGATTACATTACGGGTGAGAGTGCTGATGATGTAGAGGGGGACAATAGTGATTACATTACGGGTGAGAGTGCTGATGATGTAGAGGGGGACAATAGTGATTACATTACGGGTGAGAGTGCTGATGATGTAGAGGGGGACAATAGTGATTACATTACGGGTGAGAGTGCTGATGATGTAGAGGGGGACAATAGTGATTACATTACGGGTGAGAGTGCTGATGATGTAGAGGGGGACAATAGTGATTACATTACGGGTGAGAGTGCTGATGATGTAGAGGGGGACAATAGTGATTACATTACGGGTGAGAGTGCTGATGATGTAGAGGGGGACAATAGTGATTACATTACGGGTGAGAGTGCTGATGATGTAGAGGGGGACAATAGTGATTACATTACGGGTGAGAGTGCTGATGATGTAGAGGGGGACAATAGTGATTACATTACGGGTGAGAGTGCTGATGATGTAGAGGGGGACAATAGTGATTACATTACGGGTGAGAGTGCTGATGATGTAGAGGGGGACAATAGTGATTACATTACGGGTGAGAGTGCTGATGATGTAGAGGGGGACAATAGTGATTACATTACGGGTGAGAGTGCTGATGATGTAGAGGGGGACAATAGTGATTACATTACGGGTGAGAGTGCTGATGATGTAGAGGGGGACAATAGTGATTACATTACGGGTGAGAGTGCTGATGATGTAGAGGGGGACAGTAGTGATTACATTACGGGTGAGAGTGCTGATGATGTAGAGGGGGACAGTAGTGATTACATTACGGGTGAGAGTGCTGATGATGTAGAGGGGGACACTAGTGATTACACTCCAGTTGATGACGACTATGCTGTAGATCATGTTGTACCTCATTGTTCATTAGACCTAGCTCGAGTGAATGAAAACGGTCATAAACTTCTTGATTTCTGTAAAATGTCAGGTCTGAGAATTGCAAATGGCAGGATTGGTAAGGATGCTGGAATCCGCAATTTCACTTTTATGAACGAGTGTGGGAAAAGTTTAATTGATTATGTGTTGACGTCACCGGGTCTGTTCCCTTTATTTTCTCATTTCGAGGTCGGTTTGCCAAACATATACAGTGATCATATGACAATTTTGTTTTCGTTATCTACGAATATAACACATGTGAGCCCTCCTCGGTCTACCGCTATACAACCAAAATATTATAGGTGGAAACCAGAGATGTCAGACTTCTACATTCAAAATTTACGTAATGATGAATGTCAGTCACTATTACTTCAAATGACTACATTAATTGATAATTCTGACGAAGAAATTGGCAATTTAAATAAGGCTGTAGAGAAATTTAACGAAGCCCTGTGTAAAGCAGCTGACCCAATCATGTCAAAAGTCACTCATTATAGGTCTAATAATAATTATAAAACCAATCATGTCAAAAGTCACTCATTATAGGTCTAATAATAATTATGAAACCAATCATGAAAGTAATATCCCTTGGTATAGTGAGAGTAGATAAGGTCATTGTTTTTCGACAAATTGAATTTGTACCGACGGGTCAGTTCTGATGAGAATAGAGTTCATATGCTAAAGGCGAGGAACGAGTTTCAAAAAGAGGCCAGGAAATGTCGTTTAAAGTATGACAATGCAAAGACGTCAAAATTATTAAAATTTAGAGCCAGTAATTCCAAAGAGTATTGGAAGTTACTGAAAGAATCATGCTTGAAAGGTTCTAATGTAAATAATAAGTGTTGATGAATTCGCAAAGTTTTTCAGTTCTATCAACAACCCGGATGATCCCTTTTTCACGCCCGATGAGGATGTCGTAAACTTTGTTGACAGATATTTGAATGATGAATTACAAGTAATGTTTGATGATCTCAATAATAATATTACTAGAGGAGAAATTAATGAAGCTTTAGGTCAGCTTAAAAATGGGAAAAGCGCGGGACCTAGCTGATTTAGTGTTAAATGTGTTTTTGAGTTGGGGGCGTAACATTTTATTACCGCATTTTGGAGGTTTTATTCAATGCTATTTTTAGAAAGGGGAATTCCCCACTTTTTGGTCAGAAGGTTATGTAATACCTATTCATAAGAAAGGTAAGAAATCAGAGGTCGGTAATTACAGAGGCGTTACTTTATTAAGTGTAGTTGGGAAACTATTTACAAAGATTTTAAATAGTTTGTTAACAAAATGGGCTGAAAAATATAGTGTGTATGTATAGATGCACAAGCCGGTTTTAGAGCTGGTCATAGTACAGTGATAATATATTTATTTTTCATGGTCTAATTTCATGTTTTGTTAATAGTAAAAAAAACGTTATTCTGTACTTTTGTAGATTTTTTGAAAGCTTTTGATTATGTAGTACGAGATAATCTGTGGTTGAAGTTAATTAAATTAGGAATCAGAGGTAAGATGCTTGATATTGTGAAATCAATGTATGATTCTGTTAGAGCTCATGTTAACATTATAAATGAAATATCGGAAGAGTATGAATGCATAACAGGGGTAAAACAAGGTGAAAGTTTATCCCCATTTTTTTGTTGTTTTGACAAATTTACCTGTACCATAATGATTTTCAAGTCAGAGTGCATAGAAGGAATTGTCCGTGGATATATAGACAGATGGACAGACAACTCCACACTTTGGATTCCAATAGCAAATATGAGAAATTTCACAAAATCTGATGGTGTTCATCCAATACATTCTGTTAGAATTCACTCATAGAAAACTTGTTTTTTAAATAATTCAATTTAAATTCATACAAAAGGATATATCAAAACTCAGCGAATTCAGCAACAAAATTCCTTGACAATTATTCACCTTTCAACTCAAAATGACACTTTTTACATTACAAAATTATAAAAATGATAATCAAAGTAAATCTATTCATCAGTAGATGATTACCTGCAGCTGCTGTAGCAAAAAGCTGTTGACTTTACTTCTCCTCTCCCTTATAGCATCTTGTTTTATCCACATTTGTGGGGGAAAAGAATATTTTTCAGTCAACGATATTAATTTTTTAATTGCTTGGTGTTTGTATCTGACTAATGGGGAGCCCTCACATTTAATATGAGAAAGATACCTCCCGTAATTTTATTGAGTTTAAATCAGCAACAATCTGAACTGTCAAAATCCAAAAGACCCTTGTTTAATGAGCAGCCCAAATAATTACCAAAGGAGGAATCAAGGTGTAAAATTGGAATACTTGGTCAAAATAAAGTGACAGATATAACTAAGAGAAATGACACGCCGAAAAGTCTTTAAGGGCCCAGAAATTTGTCTGACTTTAACCATGAACTTAACACAAGTGTTACATTGATGAATTACTGCTTCTAATTATAAACTTCAAAAACACATTTATAGGTTACATATCATAGAAATTTCACAGCAAATTAGATTTATGTTTATATAATGATACCAAATCCATGCAAACCAGTTTCAGGAGAATTAAATTGTGTGATGGGGTTTGATTCTTATCATCTCTTGTATGGTACCCTGCCTACTTTTGTGATATCCATATATGGTGATATTGATCATGAACTTTCCATTATGGTTCAATCATATTTGATCAGGATCTATACAGATTTAAAAAATTACTAAACAATATAGCATTATTTCATATTATTTCCATAACGCTTTACAAATCAGACTTCTGTACTGTATTTTACCAGAAATGCTAATAAATAAGCCCACATCTTCCCAACTTTAACTATTTTGTTTGTATCTGGGGAAATGGTCTTCGCTGTTGTTTACAGGAAATGTGTACGCACTACACATCAAATAAACTGATTTTCTATTTACAGTAATAGTGACCTTGACCTTTAGACCTGAAACCTATCTCAAGTAAGCACTTCCTCGGAGGAAGCACTGGATAAAGTCAAACTTCACTTGGCCAAAAACACAAAAACAAGATATTGTGCAGAATAAAATGGTCAGACAGACAACCTGATTAATTACTATAGGGCAACATCTGTATCTCGATGTTTACTCTGTTACAAGAGCACAAAAAGTCATCTGTGTCCATGTGGTTAATTACCTATATAGTGAACTATTTTTTGCTAAACATTTTCCTGAAAAACCGACACTGGGTAGTATATATCTGCAGATGAGTTCGTCTTTTCTCCTTTACTAAGTTAACTAAATAAAATGAAATGTTTCCAAATCAATGACAAAACAAGTTCTATTCATGAAGTTATAACAAGAACAAGAGGGATTTTTGGGCTTCAGGCCCCCCCCAGCCTGAGAATTGTCTTTAAAAATCATGTATTGTCACCATTTTCCTCAATTTTTCCCCACATGGAC